AGGGATAGGAGCCTAACTTACACTGGCACCAGTTAACACACCCGAGTGTGTTCACATGGACCAAACTCTCCTGCTTTTTGTAATTTTTCACTTCACTGACTCCACTGAGCCCACTCACCACTCTCTTCCCATTCTCTCACTCTCCTGGTAAAACGCCAGTCACCTCTGTACAAGTCAAAGTTGAGTTCAGTTCATGCTGGATTCTTTCCCCCACTGCAGTGCATAGTATATGACTGATTAAAATCTCCCCTTACCAGTTTAATTAATGTTCAGGTTTGTTTAGCTTTAACAAAAACACCCTTATATAAATACACATACATACATACACATACATACACACATGCACGCACACACAGACGGCAGTTTAGGTTGGGCTTTCATGGGTCTCTACTCCACTAGGGGTCAATTGGAAGAAACCCAAGGCTGGGGACTTGAATTATCAGAAGGTTCTCTCACTCTCAAGTCTGGCATTCGATGTTGACTGTCAGCTAAGACCTTAGCAGAAGCTGTCAGCTCAGACATATCCAAGTGGCTTCTCTGTGTGGCCTGGGCTTCTCCACAATATGGCAGCTCCACAACGTGTGTCCTTGGAAGTGACCCAGCATCACTTTCAGTGCATTGCATTTACAGAGGCAACCACAAAGGCCTGCTCAATTTCAAGAGGGAAGGGAAATAGACTCCACCTCCAGTTGGGTGTGGCAGGATTCTGCAAGAGCTTGTGGGACACTAAAGACAGCTTTAGCCGTTTTGGAAAATGCCATCTGCCATAGTCGTCACGCATCTTACGACTTCATTCTTATCTCATTCTACTGTTTTAGTCATTTTCCCACTTGTCTCATCTCCCCAACTACACCATAAACTTCTGGATAACAGGGACAACATTTCTTATTTTTGTTCCATTATAGCTGGTTCTTCATATGAGTCAGATAAGACACAGGGAAACAGTATTATAGTAATGAACTTCTATTAAAATTTTCTAAAGTTAACTGATTTTGCAACTGGCAGTGGGGAAGTAACAGTCTACTTTCAATTGTGCTTTCTCAGATTTAAATACAATCGTGACAGTGAGCTACTACTTCCAGGGAGTAATGTAGGAGTTGTTATTTGTGTAATAGTGTGTTACAAATATTAAGTATGTTGTCCCAATTTCCCCAAAATGTAATAGTTTTAGCCTGAATACCATGAAAAGCTGAAAAATGTAAACCAAATATCCAAGTACATCTAAGAGAAATTAGGTAAAGCTTTTGGAACCTCAAGACCCCAAAGTCTTGATTCTTAATCTTGGACTTCCTTCCCTGTGTAACTCTTAATTTCTTTAAACCAAGTTTCTTCAATTTTGTAAAAGCAATACTATTTATAAC